CCCTTGAAAACTCTATGGGGTTGCCGTAAGTTGGTTGTGACTTGACGGCACTTTCCACCACTCCAACCCTGCGGGGGTGCTATTTGAGCTACTCGAGGGTCGCTCTCCTAAGTGTATCACCCAGGATGAATGAATGAGTCTCTATTCCTTATGAACAGTAAGAGGCAAGTTCAGGTGCTGTGCGGAGTTGGATCTCAACTGCCCCCTAATGGAGATTGTCCATCAGAGGGTTTTCGAAGTAAGAACTGGTCAGAAGTAGTTACCACTCCCTCCTTACGCACAGTATTAACTAGGCTTGGTGCGGCCAACAGTGGGAGGGCTTCTAGTGTCCTGGCCCCACTGGTGGACTTCCTGATGGCACCTGGTATTTTTGGCTACTGTGTGACCGAGTGTTGGACTGGATGGGCCATTGGCCTGATCCAACACTGGCTTCTCTTATGTTCTCTGCCAGTGTCACCTTCCACTACCGCTGCTGCCCACTAATGACCCTTCAAGGACTTCTCTGTCCCCATCACCACTGGAACTGTCTATCCTCTCCTGATGATGTGGCCGTTGATCCCCATGGGGGGGCGGGGAGATGCATCTTTGTCTGGTGTCTCAGCTTTGATCATTCTGCCTTGAGTGACTCTACTAGGAGTTCAGACCCTTTATGGTACTGCTCTCAGCTTCACTGACACACACAACTCCCCCTCACCACGTCAAGCTGTGCATCCAAGAGGACGCCTTGGAGGAATTAAGTCACAGGGTCGCCATAAGTCGGAAGCGACTTGCCAGCACTGCTCACGCACACTAGTGGAGAAGTTCGGGGGATTATGGGATTATAAAGCACTCAGCATAGAAATAACGGTGGTGGAAAGTTTATACGCACAAAAATGGAAAAGTCCACCGTTACCCACAAAAGAGGAATGGTTGATGAAGTTAATGGAATTTGCAGAGATGGCTAAGCTTACCGCCTTGAGCAGCGAAAGAACATTATCTACCTTTATTGCCAGTTGGAAACCCCTTATAGACTTTTTGCATGAAATGGGGAAAATGAACTGACAATTTGTGGATTTGATAATAAAGGGGAAAGAATTTTTTTTTTTGTAAGTAACAGGGAGAAGAGAAATAATATTTGGTTGCAATAACAGAGTAAGTGTTAAATTTTTAATCTTATATTTGTCATAGAAAAATCGGAAGCCTTCTTTATATTTCTCTATTTTTGTGTATCTTAGTTTTCTTTTTTCCCCTTTTTAAATCTTCTTGTTATAAAATCCTTAATAAAATCATTTTTTTAAAAAAAAGAAGGTGCCATCACGTCGCAGTTAACTCGTGGCAAACCTCTAGGGTTTTCAAGGCAAGAGACGAGCAGAGGTGGTTTGGAATTGCCTGCCTCGGTGTGGCAACCCTGGGCTTGGTGGTTTCCATCCCAGTACTAACCACGGCCAACCCTGCTTAGCTTCCGAGATCTGACGAGATCAGGCTTGCCTGGGCTATCCAGGTCAGGGTGAAATGATTAAAAATGCCCATTTTCAGAGGTGGTGGTTTGCTATGAGTTGTGCCTTTATCATGTCACATGCAAAGAAATATAAACCGTGGCCCTTGTAGCTTTCTTTGAGAGGTAGGTTGCAAAGGATTATCCCACCTAGAGTAGGTGTAGTAGAGTAGTTAAAGAACACAAGCCAAGAAATCCTTGATTCGTATCTCAAGTACTTGCTGAGGTTCTTACACAAGCCCCTTATCCTCCCATACTGGCCTACTTTGTGGGGCTGTTGTACGAGTTGCTGAAAAAGGGCACACAGAGTCCTCTGAACTCTTGAGAAAATGCTTTGGCATGATGGGATGGGATGAGGTAGTGATTTGAGTGTTGGGCTAGCCTATGGAAGAAAAGTTTCCTCAGTGGAACAGGCTTCCTCGGGAGGTGGCGGGCTCTCCTTCCGTGGAGGTTTTCAGACAGAGGCTGGAGGGCCCTCTGACAGCAATGCTGGTTCTGTGAACTTGGGCAGATCATGAGAAGGGAGGGCAGGAGGGGTGGCATCAGTACTTAGTTCTCGTGGCCCTTTCTCACACGCCCAGGGAAATGCCGATCGCCACTTTGGGGTCAGAACGCAATTGTTCTCCAGGCCAGTTTGGATGGAGATCCTGGAGGGTTTTTTTGCCATCTTCTGGGTGTGGGACAGCAGTCACTGGGGGTGGGGGGGAGAGGTATTTGTTAATTTCCTGCATTGTGCAGGGGGTTGGACTAGATGACCCTGGAGGTCCCAATACCCCGAATACACCATGAGGTTATTTCCACGCTCTTGTCAGCGGCTAAAACTATAGTAGATGCTAGTTGGATGGACCCTTCTCCAATTTCTACTACACACTGGTTTGCCAAGATTTGGGAACTACTAGCAATGGGTAAAATTACAGATTCTGTTGCGACCGCAGAGGACAAGACTGTCAATACCAGTACTTTACTTAAATGGCTCCCTTTCACGGAATACGTGATGGAACACTCAACTCAGCTTTTGACCTCTTTGCCGACCAAATATCGGGAAATAATTACGTTCATGTGAGACACTTAGGGACCTAAATTCTGAATGTATATTTCCTGGCTTCCTAGTGACTTTACCATTGCTGTGCTGTTGTTTGGATCTGGTTAACCTTGTTGTATTTTGTTTTAAGTTGTAATGTTGAAAATAAATAAAAATATTTTGTTTTAAAAAAGAGAAAAAAACCTCTATGGTTCCCATCCCATTCTTGATTTAAATGGCCGTGCCTTTTCCTCGCCTAATTTGCACCTTCTCCCTGTCCCGTTCCCCCACCCGCTTTTTGTAGTTGAAAATGAGAACCACTGTGACTTCGTGAAGCTGCGTGAAATGTTGATCAGAGTCAACATGGAGGACCTGAGGGAGCAGACTCACAGCCGGCACTACGAGCTTTACCGCCGTTGCAAGCTAGAAGAGATGGGCTTCAAAGACACAGACCCCGACAGCAAACCTTTCAGGTAAGAAGACAGCAGGTGAGCCGCAAAACCAGCAGCCCAGGAAAGCACAGCATCCTTCTCAGACACAGAAGGGGGTTCTAGTATAAGGATGTCAGAGCTGGCAGAGTGTAGACCAACACAGCTACCCACCTGAACCGGCCTTTAAAAAGCAGTGATCTTGTCTATTGATCCATAGTACTTGGATAATAAACAGTGGTCTACCTTACGAGGTTGTTGTGCAGGATTAGGGTGGTGTACTTGAGGCACTGGGATCACATAAAATGTTTGGTGGCATTATTCTGTTCCCAAGATTTCCCAGTCTTGGGGGGGGGAGTGAGAAACAGACTCCAGGAGGTAGCATTCACTCAGCCCTGGGTGAGGCTAGGAGTGTGCGAGTTTCATGGGCAATACCAGATTGTGCCAGGTAACCAGGGAATCTGTTACGTGAGCCGGGGTGGTGTGGTGGTTAGAATGTCAGACTAGAATCTGGGGGAGCCTGCTTCGAATCCTCGTTGTGCCATGTCAAGGAAGCTTGCTGGGTGACCTTGGGCCAGTCACATGCTCTCAGCCTAACCTACCTCATAAGATTGTTGTGAGGATACAGTGGAGGAGAGCAGTGTAAGCCAGCGTGGGTCCCCATTGGAGAGAAAGACAGGGTATAAATGAAGTAAGTAAATAAATCGTCTGGCATGGAATTCTGTACTCCGAGAATCGTGGCTTGGTCTTTTTAATTCCCTGAAAATGCAAGCCTCCACGAGAGATGTTCCCTGTTAGAGATAAATAAATCGCAATTAAAATGGGACAGGGAGAAGATCTAAGCACTGAAGTTCCACCCCCTGAGCCCTCTGTTTGGGCCTCCTTTGTCATCTGCGATCTCACTAAATCCTGAGCTGTTATGTTTTCAAATTGATCTGCTCAGAGGTCATGGAAACAAGAAGAGGGAAGCGGAGCTAGGCAAGGTGATGGGCCTGTGCACCAGAGGTCAAATTCTTTGCCTGCAGGGCTATCCCACCGATGCAAGGAATGCGCAGAGCCCTATTAGTTATTAGCAACATCTTTTACACTTGCAGAGAATTCCGCAAAAGTCACAAAGCCATGTACTCAGACCTTACTTAGACGTTTGGCAAGCATCAGTGGCTCACAAGAAAGTATCAGGTTCTCTTTCTGATTCGAGAGCCAGTTTGGTGTAGTGGTTAAGTGCGCGGACTCTAATCTGGGAGAACCGGGTTTGATTCCCCACTCCTCCACTTGCACCTGCTGGATGACCTTGGGCAAGCCACAGTTCTGACACAGCTGTTCTTGAAAAACTGCAGTTTCTCTCAGAGCTCTCTCAGCCCCACCTGCCTTACAGGGTGTCTGTTGTGGGGAGGGGAAGGGAAAGGGCGGGGTATAAATCCAATCTCCTCCTCCTCCTCCTCTTCTTCTTCTGACTTATTTCAGAATTAGGTGAACACTGAGGCTCACACCTTGGGGAAGCACAGTTTCCCAAAAAAAGACATTCCCCGTCTCATCTTCTTTTCTGATGAGCGCTGGCTTTGTTCCACTGTTGCAAACACCAAAGGTGTCCCATTGAGGGGGAAGGGCTGTGGTTCAACGGAAGAGCTTCTGCTTTTGCATACAGAATGTCCCCGGTTCAGTTCCCGGCTTCTCCAGTTAGGAGAAGGCAGTAGGTAATGTGAAAGATCTCTACTGGGAATACTGGGGACCTGTTGCCAGTCAGAGTAACCAATACTGACCCTGATGTTCTGATTCAGTCTAAGGCAGCTTCATGTGTTTGTGGCATCGGGGTGCATGGAGAGCAGGGTTCCCGCTAAGCCGAGTTAGTGTGAGCTAGCTCACAGTTTTCTAGCCTCTGCCTCACACATTTTCGCCTTCGCTCAGGAAGGGAGGGAGCTCCAGAGCAAACTAGTTTATGCAGCAGCCACACCGCTCGCTCACAACTTTAATGCCCAGTAGCTCACAAAGTAGAATTTTTGCTCACAAGACCCCACAGCTAAGAGGAAGCGTTGACTGAGACCCCAACACGGATAACAAAGTTTGCCTTGGTGACAGGAAACCTCTTATGTCACTATGTCCCCTTATTTCTAAATGACATACATTTGAGGCTATTTAAAACAAAATTGATAAATAATAATAATAATAATCTTTCCATTTATTGATCGCTCAATCCATGCAGAGCTGCCGGCTCTGAGCGATTTACAGTTACTCATGAAATTCACATGGGACTAACAATGCTGGGGGTAAGGGAGGACAACATATATCATTTAAATCGCAGACATTTTTGCAGTCGTCGAAATATGGTCTGCTGTAATAAAAATCACATTTTAAAACCATTAGAATCACCACCTCCAGTGTTCCCTCTAAGCTGAGTTAGTGTGAGCTAGCTCACAGTTTTTTAGTCTTCAGCTCACAGATTTTTGTCTTAGCTCAAGAAGGATGGCTCCAGAGCAAACTGATTTATGCAGTGACCAGATCGCTCGCTCACAACTTTAATGCCAGGAGCTCAGAAAGTAGAATTTTTGCTCACAAGACTCCGTGGTTTAGAGGGAACACTGACCACCTCCCAAGCGGAAATCATTAGAACAGTTAAAAGCAGAGTTAAAATGCATACAACGACATAAAAACAGCAATTAAAACATTGGTCAGGAGGAAGGAGGGATCCCCGTGGAAATGGAAAGTGCCATCAAATCACAGCTGATTTATATGGCAGCCCTGTAGGGTGTTCAAGGCAAGAGACACTCAGAGATGGAAAAGAGCAAGCGTCCAGTGGCACCTTAAAAATGAAGAACTAAATTTGTGGCAGGGGATGAGCTTTTGTGAGTCACTGCTCACTTCTTCAGATAGTGAAGCGAGCAGTGACTGACGAAAGCTCCTCCCCTGCCTCAAATTTTATTAGTCTTTAAGATGCTCATGGACTCTGGCTCTTTTCTGCTGCTACAGACAGACTAACGCGGCGTCCCGTCTTGATCTATTCAGAGGTGGTTTGCCATTGGCTGCCTCCCCTGTCACGACCCTGGTATTCTCTGGAAGTCTCCCAACAAAATGGCTTCTGAGATCTGACAATCTGCTTAGCTTCTGAGATCTGACAAGATCGGGCTAGCCTAGGCCAGTGGTGGCGAACCTATGGCATGGGTGCCAGAGGTGGCACTCAGAGCCCTCTCTGTGGGCACGCGTGCCATCGCCCCAGCCAGGCCCAGACCATCATTAAAGTGTCAAATTCTCTGCCAAATAATTTTAAGTAAATGAAAGAATTTGGGATTGCTTTCGTTACTTTGTTTGGATCATCTTAAGTTAATGTATGAGTTGTTTTTTCTAAAGTAAAACCTCAGTATTCAGGTTAAATTGCCGTGTTGGCACTTTGCGATAAATAAGTGGGTTTTGGGTCGCAGTTTGGGCACTCGGTCTCTAAAAGGTTCGCCATCACTGGCCTAGGCTATCCAGGTCGGGACTAGGGATCGCTGAGGGAATGCCAAACGAAGCAAAAAAGGTCTTTTACCCGCTGGCGGAAGATGGCAACAGAAGGGGACAAGCGAATCTCCCTGGAGAGAGAGAGTTCCAGATCTTTAGTGCCACAACCAAGAAGGCCCTCTCCCAGGGCGCCACCTTCCAGAAGGCGGGAAAACTTGAAGCAGGGCTAGATGTTATGAGAGGGAAAGAAGTACAGGATCCTGGAGCCTGAAATAGCTGTTTTGGCCTAGACAGATGGCATTTCCAGACAAGAAATAGAGGGGAGGGGGAGTATAAGATACTATAGACCATTCTTTGTGTCCCATAGTGCAAGTCAGCAAATCGAGACGTTCTCCCCAAGGAACTGCAGATTCCATCTCCTCAAGCCAGCCTGGCCTCTTCAGCTGGCTTACATTTCTTTCTGACAGGGAGTAGTAAGTGTTCCATAAACTCTCAAAACTGAGTTGGCTAAGAGGCAGGCGGTAAACCATGTATTTTACAAAAGGACGTGGCAAATGAGGAGTAGCAGAGAGAACGGGCTTCCTCAGTGGTAGGGAAATTTTAGCAACTCCTTGGTTCCTCTGGCAGGCAGTTCTAAGAACTGGCACGGAGGGTTGTAAAGTTCGAAAATAGTTTTCAGAAATGTGAAAACCGAGGCAGCATTCATGCTCAGCACGCAGTTTCTTGCCTTGATCTGTTGATGCAGAAGAGCGTAAATAAACAGAATCCAGGCCGTGGGGAAAGAAGGAGTTGAGTTTTTCACCACAGAGAAACATATTTGTTGACCTCCCCCACTCTCTGACAGATTTTTCCCTCATGGAAGAATCTTTTTGTAGAGCTTGCGCTGGGGAGAGTTTCTCTCGGTGCCTCCATGATACGACTTGAAGTAAACCTGGTGTAACCCCATGGACTTGGCTGTTTGGTGAAATTTGTGATGGGAAAGTATTTTTGTCCCTGTGGGGGAAAAGTAGTTGAGAAAAAGAGCGATGGAGAGATTTTTCTGAGGAAAAAGGGGAGACAGGGAGAAGAAACTCCGAGGCGAAGATGTGTCCTGAGCTTCCTTTGTCAAGGGGCATTCATACTGTTGAAAAATCCCACAAGTAGCACCTCTCTGGTATGAGGACAGATGATATAATGGGAGCTGTGGGGCTTGGGAAAGGAGTGAGAATGGATCCTGCTGATGATATTGCTGACTCTCGGTATTAACTTGAGATCTGGATTTCTCTTCCTCCCCGTCCACCCTTCTGCCTTGATTTTTATGTTTTGTAATAAGTCTCCAAGAGACCTACGAAGCCAAGAGGACCGAGTTCCTCGGTGAGCTGCAGAAGAAGGAGGAAGAAATGAGGCAGATGTTTGTCATGCGGGTGAAGGAGAAAGAAGCCGAGCTGAAAGAAGCCGAAAAGGATGTAAGTGGGTCACGGTGGGGTGGCTACAGCTGAAGGGTTTGGCCAGTGACTGTCAGCGGACAGCCCAAATTTCTGTGTTCCCTTTTGGAAAACACAGCTAGGTGACTCCACAGCTGGTCAGTGGCCAAACCAGAACTGTTTGAATTCCCAGCCCTTGGTCAATGAAACTAGGAGATGGAGCTGTGGGGAGAAACAGGAGCAAGCCTTGAGTAGGGCTTCCAGTCCACAGGTCCCGGTGGGGGTTACCCCAGTTTTCAGGGGAGACCCCACCCCCAAACGGCAATGTCGCTCCGTGATGTCGCCAACACAGTGACACCACCCAGAAGTGACGTCATCACAGCGGGGGTGTCATGCGGTGACGCTCTGGTTTGAGGGCAAAACTCTATAGTTTGAAGTTGGTTTTACCATAGAGTTTGCCCTCAAACCAGAGCGTCGCTGCACAACATCCCTGACGTGGTGATGTCATTTCCGGGTGACATCATCACGTCGGGGATGTCCCAGAATGCCCCCCAAATCCCCCTGGTGGCACAACAAGGGGATCTGGCAACCCTCGCCTTGCGCTATAGTCCACTGTTCTGCAGGAGAAAAATGCTGCTCTATTGACCAGGACAGAACAGCCAGCTAATCTGATATTTATAGCAACCTTGGCCAGTCAAGAGACTTCATATTGCTTGTCAGTTATGGCTGGTATTGCACACCCATAATCCCCTATTCATTCTTTAAGGCCCGTTGTGGTGAACTCTCCATATATTTCACTCTTCTAGGTCCCAGCCTCAGGTGATAAGATCCGTGGTTTGGATCCTGGGGGGGGGAAATCCTTCCCTTCAAGGCTTGACTTCCAGTTTCCCAGCAGAATTTTCTGTACTTAACAAACCATATTTTTATTTCCCTCTCCCAACCGTTCTCCCCCCCCCCCCCCCCTCCCCCCCCCCCCCCCCGGACAGCTTCATGAGAAGTTTGACCACCTAAAGCGGACCCACCAAGAAGAGAAGAAGAAGGTAGAAGACAAAAAGAAGGAACTCGAGGAAGAGCTGAACACCTTCCAGAAGAAGAAGGCAGCAGCCCAACTATTACAATCTCAGGGCCAACAGGCCGGCTCTCAACAAACCAAGAAAGAAAAGGACAAGAAAAAGTAAGCCGTTGTCTCCGGTCGAGCTCTGTGGGCTTCTGTTCCGGTGTGCTTCTGTTCCTGTTGCATGTCTGTATTCGCTTCTTCCCATTATCCGACTGGAAACTGAGCATTCCTCACCTCCTCCCCCATTTTTATTTTTATTTTTAAAACCGGACTGATCAAATAAAATATTTTTCCCCCCCCTAAGAGACAAAGGGGATGGGTGGGGAGGGAGCTACGTCCTATATTTTTATACAGAGGGTATCTAAATACTATTTTGTAAAGCTGATTATTTTGATAGTAGGAGAGCAGTCGGAAAGCAGAGAGCAGTGAGTGAGCCATCCAGCACCCGGCTGAGTCAACTTGGCAGTAGTGACCGATTTCTGTTCTTGAGCCGAAACCTGTCGTGGCCTCTTAAATCCTCACTCTCTTCCCTCTCCCCCTGCTGATGCTTTAAAGGACCGTGTTAAAAACAAAGAGACTAACGCATAATAGGCCCAGCAGTGCAGATTCTGTCTTGGAAGTTAACCATTACTGAGGGATCGGTGTAATTCCTTAGGATCATGTCTCTGTGCTCCAGAATCCAAGCTGGGAACACCCCCAAGTTTGGTTTAACAATAAATATGGAGACGGGGATCGTGTGAAGGCAAAGTCCTAGGGTGGGCGTTGGCACAGGACCCTGCAACCTGATCCTTTATCCATAACGGACACCCAAAGCGAACGCTGTATGTACGCTAGTCAGTTGTTTTCAACACAGACTCTCCAAGTGCCAAGCCTAAAGAGTCGGTGTTGTAACTAGCAACACCTCTGGTTAATGTTGTGAATGTATTTCATGCAGTGCCAAGTCCATTATCTTCTACTAGCCAGAGCTGTCAAGCAGGAATCATATTGGGTATATTGCTCTCGTGACACTTACTAGAAACGTTCAGCTCTCTTGGCCGTGATCCCATGAGTCTCTCCCACACATGGGCAGTCTGTGCCTTGTTGTTGGTAGTGATAGAGACTGAGAGAGAGAGAAACCCGTATTGTGTGTGATGAGCGCCATCTGCCTGCCATCGCCGGTAATTGGAGCACTGCATACGTGTAGGACTCTGATCTTTGGCCGTAAGTGGATCCTTTAGTGAAGGAACAATGGCCCTTTCAAGGGCCACATGGATGCCCCTTTTTATTAGTGACCTCTTAGAAAACTTACAAAGTATTTTTGCAGAGCTGGTCTGAGAAAATGGAATATGCTGAAGGTGCGGCCCTGTTTCTTAAGCTGACAGTGGGACGACCTAGTCCAGTGATGGCGAACCTTTTAGAGACCGAGTGCCCAAACTGCAGCCCAAAACCCACTTATTTATCGCAAAGTGCCAACACGGCAATTTAACATTAATCCTGAGGTTTTACTTTAGAAAAAACAACTCATACATTAACTTAAGAGGATCCAAACAAAGTAAGGAAAGCAATCCCAAATGCTTTCGTTTACTTAAAATTATTTGGCAGAGAATTCGACACTTTAATGACGGTCTGGGCCTGGTTGGGGCGATGGCACGCGTGCCCACAGAGAGGGCTCTGAGTGCCACCTCTGGCACCCGTGCCATAGGTTCGCCACCACTGGCCTAGTCCTTCCCCTCCCATCAGGATGGTCTTCAACCTTTCTTTGCTCATCTTGGCGGCTGCCCTGTTGTCTTACCATTCCACACACGGGCACAGTGTCCTTTGCTAGCTTGGCCTCTGAGATACCGGTAGCCGCTGAGACCAGCGGGCGTGTGGGACAGGAGACGGCCCCGGGACAGGGCGACTGGCCCACGAACGAGGCAAGCAGCTCTGTTGTCCAGGCGTTTCCTTGGTTACATTTTCACGACATCAGAATGCTCTTGTAAGCCACTCCTGGGTAAAATACATAGGACTCTTTTCAAATCACGCACTCACTGTATCTGCATAGTTTCACTTTTGCTTGTCACCTTTGTACAGATTTTGTGACCACGGGAACGACTTGTGGGAACTCTCTCGTGTCATAAAAACGTAACCTGGAACCTGGCTTGACCTGGAGGGCCCAGGCTAGCCCAGTCTTGTCAGGACACGGAAGCTAAGCAGGGTCAGCCCCGGTTAGTACTTGGGTGGGAAACCACCAAGGAAGCCAAGGGTCACTATGCAGAGACAGGCAGTGGCAAACCACCTCTGTCCACCTCTTTCCTTGAAAGCCTTCACCCTAAGAGAGCCAGTTTGGTGTATTGGTTAAGAGCGCGACTCTAATCTGGGAGAACCGGGTTTGATTCCCCACTCCTCCGCATGCAGCTGCTGGTGTGACCTTGGGTCGGTCACAAGTTCTTTCAGAGCTGTTCTCTCAAGGGCAGTTCTCGGGAGAGCTCTCTCAGCCCCACCTGCCTCACAGGGTGTCTGTGGTGGGGAGAGGAAAGGAAAGGAGTTTGTAAACCGCTCTGAGACTCCTTCGGGTAGTGAAGGGCGGGGTATAAATCCAATCTCTTCTTCAACTCTTCTGAGTCGGCTGCAGTTGACAGCACTTTCCGTCACCGATCTGGGATGCGTCTTAACCAATGTTCCCTCTAAGCTGTGGAGTCTTGTGAGCAAAAATTCTACTTTGTGAGCTACTGGTAGTAAAGTTGTGAGCGAGCGATTTGGCTACTGTATAAATTAGTTTGCTCTGGAGCCATCCTTCCTGAGCTAAGATAAAAATGTGTGAGCTGGAGGCTAAAAAGCTGTGAGCTAGCTCACACTAACTCAGCCTAGAGGGAACACTGGTCTTAACCTGCTGTTTACCACTTGTCGCTCTGGTGGGCAACAGTAATAATCAAATGGGAGGTGCACTTTGAAAAACGCAGTTTTAAAATTACTGCTCACTGCAGGAGCGTCAAGCTAGACTCCTGTGTTGCGACGGCAACTCTGATCCGTTTTGGAACAGGGATCGATCCCCTCTGAACAAGGCCTCTTCAATTCGGAGTACCAGTCAGCCACAAAACCACTTGTGTGGAGATTCTCTTAGTTGCACCTCCATCAGCAGGAACCGATCCGCCAAAGGATATTTTTCATGTGTGTTCTCTCTCTCTCTCGTAGCTCTTAATGCTGATTAAAGCAACAAAAGAGTCTTGGTTTCCTTTAAACTGGTTTGTTGTGGCATAAGTTTTCCATGAAGTAGAACCCAACTGGCACGAAGTGTGATCCAGTGCGGAGTAGCGGGATAGAGTGTTGCGTTAGAATCTGGGAGACCCAGGTTCAAATCCACACTCCTGCCTGGAACCTTGCCGGGTGACCTTGGGCCAGTCACACACTCTCACCCTAGCCTACCTCACAGGGTTGTTGTGAGGATAAAATGGAGGAGGAGAGTCCAGCGTAAGCTGTTTTGGGCTGCCATTGGGGGGGGGGGTAGTAAGTAAATAAAATAAACATAAATTGATAATTATATAGTGCACGCGGGTGCAGTGGGCCAGGTTGGGGGAATGGTTGTAGATGGTGGAGTCAAAAAGCCTTTAAAAGGCAAGGGGTAACAGAGCATTTCTGAAACGTAAATATATAAAATTGCCACTTTGCGATGCAGCTTCACGCCTCTGTTGGGCTCTTGCTCGGGAAAGCTGATGCCACAGTGAATTAGTTAGCCCGTAGCATTCCACAGGAGTGATCGTTTGTGTTGGCGGGACCAGACTAGCTCAGCCAAACCTCTGCTGTAGTTAAAGTTCTAATTCCCAATTTTACAAAAAGAAAGAGACGAATGGGGTCCCTCCCCAGTGGTAGGTTTTGCTTCTTACTGAGGAAAAGGAAGAAAAATCAAACGCATTAATTTTATTATTTTTTACATGGTAATGAAGAATCCTTTTGGAAGATGTCTATTTTGGACAAAGCTTTATGTGGGAGATATCACCTTTGCCAGTAAAACTGTTTCCATTTTTAACATCCGTAGCAGCGATAGCTGACAAGGTCTGACTCCAAACTCAGTTCAGTTTGTAAATAAAAACTTAACGTTCTGCTCTCCAACGTGACACGTTCTGGACTTACGCTGTCTCCTTTGATCTCATATCTTTTTTGCCCATATGCACGGAGAAAGGGCGGTGGCTCAGTGGTGGAGCATTACTGTTTCAGTGTAGTGGTTAAGTGCGCGGACTCTAATCTGGGAAAACCGGGTTTGATTCCCCACTCCTCTACTTGCAGCTGCTGGATGACCTTGGGCAAGCCATAGTTCTGGCAGAGCTGTTCTCAAGGACAGCTGAAAAGAGCTCTCTCAGCCCCACCTACCTCACAGGATGTCTGCGGTGGGGAGGGGAAGGGAAAGGAGTTTTGTAAGCTGCTCTGAGACTCCAAGTTAAGGGCGGGGTGTAAATCCAATCTCTTCTCCTCCTCCTCCACCTCCTCTTCTTCTTCTCCTCCTCCTCCTCTTCTTCTTCTTCTTCCTCCTTTGATCTTGTATCTTTCTTGCCCATATGCATGGAGAAAGGGCTGTGGCTCACACACGGAAGCTCTTGGGTTCAGTCCCCGGCATCTCTAGTTAAAGGATCTTGTGCAACAGCTGTTAAGAAAGAGCTTTCTCGGCCTGAGACCCTGGAGAGATGCTGCCCTTCAGAAGAGTTGGGTGGACCAATGGTCCCAATTTGAGAGCAGGGAGCTCCAGATGCTTGTGACAAATATCCCACAAACCCGCTTGATTGTGTGTCTGTTGGGGGGCGTGGGAAAGAGACTCATTCTGCCGTGAACGTCCCACTGAGAAGAAAGAAGGCTGCGTGAGAACACATCACGATGCTCTCAATCAGCTCCAGTGGGATGTGCGCAGGAGAACCCCCTGCCTGATGGTGACTGACGTGTTTAGTTCTTGGCTGACGTTCAGTCTCCAGATGAGACGTATCAGCCCTCACATAGTTTTTACCATTGGGATGTCCTTCCCCAGAACCCCAGATACACCGGGCTGGGTTGTGATTATTCATCAGTGAAGGAAATGCACTCTGTGTGCGCTCGGGGGCACTTTTCTGCTGTTGCTAATATATCTTTTTGGGCGGTGTGCTGGCATTGGGCAGGAGGGATAGGATTCCAGG